TAGAGATGAGGTCTCACTGCCCAGGCGGGTCTCGAACCCGTGGGCTCAGGCAATCCACTTACCTCAGCCTTCCAAAGTCGCGGGATTACAGGCTGAGCCACCGAGCCCAGCAATTTCATTCTTTTTAATGACTGAATAGTATTCTATTGTGTGTATATACCACTTGTTTTTTTTTTGTTTGTTTGTTTGTTTGTTTTTTTGAGTTGGATTCTCACTCCGTTGTCCAGGCTGGAGTGCAGTGGCATGATCATGGCCACCCCACTGTCAACCTGCTGGGCTCAGGCAATCCTTCCGCCTCAGCCTTCCAAGTAGCCGGAACTACAGGCGCACACTACCACACCCGGCAAATTTTTTTGATTTATTGTAGAGACGAGGTCTCGCCAAGTTGTCCGGGCTGGTCTCGAACTCATGGACTCAGGCAATCAACTTGCCTCGGCCTCCCAAAGTGCTGGGATTACAGGCTGAGCCACCTAGCCCGGCCCTTTTTTTTTCTTTTTTTCTTTTTTTTTTTAATTGGAGTTTCACCCTGTTGCCTAACCTGGAATGCAGTGGCATGCTCATGGACACTGCAGCTTCTATCTGCTGGGCTCAGGCACTCCTTCCTCCTCAGCCTTCCAAGTAGCTGAAACCACAGGCAGACACCAGCATGCCCAGCTAAATTTTTAAAATTTATTGTAGAGTTGAGGTCTCACCAATTTGCCCCAGCTAGTCTCCCACTCCTGGGCTTGGGCAGTCCTTTCACTTCAGCCTCCCAAAGTGCTGAGATGACAGGTATGATGAGCCACCATGCCCAGCTTACCACCTCTTCATCCATTTACCCACTGATGGGCACTTGGAGTGATTCCATAACTTGGCTATTGTGAATTGTGCTGGAGTAAACATGGAGGTGCAGATGACTCCTTATACTGATTTCCTTCCCTTTGAATAAATACCAGTAGTGAGATTGCTGAATCATATGTAAGTTCTGTTTGTAGTTTTATGAGAAACCTCCATACTGCTCTCTACAGGGCTATACTGATTCACATTCCCACCAGCAGTGAGTTCCCCTTTGCCACATCCTTGCCAGCCTTCTAGCACTTGTTACTTTTTGTCTTTCCTATACTAGTCATTCTGACAATGGCTTTGGTTTTCATTTTCATGATGATGAGTGATGTTGAATATTCATATATTTGTTAGGTATTTGTATGTCTTTGAGAAATGTCTATTCCAATCCATTGCCCATTTTTAATTCAAATTGTGTTTTTTTGCTATTGAGATGTTTGAGTTCTTTATATATTCTGGATATTAGTCCCCTGTCGGATAAATAGTTGGCAAAAATTTTTTTTTTGTAGATTGTCTTTTACTCTGTTGATTGTGTCCTTTACTGTGCAGAAGCTTTAATACAATTCTGTTTGCTTATTTTCTATTTGTTTATTTTGCTTTTGTTGCCTGTGTTTTTGAGCTCTTACTCATAAAATCATTTTTCAGACCAGTGTTCTGAAGCATTTTCCCTATGTAGTTTTATAGTTTTAGGTCTTTGATGTATTGTGAGTTAATTTTTGTATGAAAGGTGAAAGATTGGGATCCAGTTTCATTTTTCTGTATATGGATATCTAGCTTTCTCAGCACCTATATTTAATTTTTTTTTCTGAGCTGGAGTCTCACTCTGTTGCCCAGGCTAGAGTGCAGTGGCATGCTCATGGCAACTGTAGCCTCGACCTGTTGGGCTCAGGTGATCTTTCCGCTTCAGCCTTCCAAGTGGCTGGAACTACAGGCACATGCCATCATGCCCAGCTAACTTTTTTATTTATTGTAGAGATGAGTTCTCGCCAAGTTTACCTAGGCGGTCTCTAACTCCCGGGCTCAGGCAATCCTCTCGCCTCAGCCTCCCAAAGTGCTGGGATTACAGTCAAGTGCTTGAGCCATCACGCTTGGCTAAATTTAAAATTTTAGTCCAGCTTTTCTTTCTTCCATCTTAATAAATTTAAAAGGGATTAACTTAGTAATGAAGGTGATTTTTTTTCTCAGAAAAGAAAATGTGATTGTTTTTTATTTATTTATTTATTTGAGTCAGAGTCTCACTCTGTCACCCAGGCTGGAGTGCATAGGCACACTCACGGCCACCGCAGCCTCAAACTATTGGGCTCAGGTGATCCTTCCGCCTCAGCCTTCCAAGTAGCTGGAATTACAGGCATGTGCCACCATGCCTGGCTAATTTTTTGATTTATTGTAGAGATGAGGTCTCACCAAGTTACCCAGACTGGTCTTGAACCTGTGGGCTCAGCCAGTCCTCTCACCCTGGACTCCCAAAGTGATGGAATTATTGGCGTGAGCTACTGTGCTTGGCCTATTTATTTATTTTGAGTGGGAATATCACTCTGTTGCCCAGTGCAGTGGCACGATCATGGCTCATCGCAACCTTGGTCTTCTGGGCTCAGCCTCCCAATTACAGGCGCATGCTACCACACCCGACTGATTTTTTGATTTATTGTAGAAATGAGGTCTCGCTGCCCAGGCGGGTCTCGAACCTGCGGGCTCAGGCAATCCACTCACCTCAGCCTCCCAAAGGTGCGGGATTACAGGCTGAGCCACCGAGCCTGGCTCAAGTTTTTTTTTCTATTACAGTAAATGAAATATTCTCTTAAGGAGAATACACATTCTCTACCTTTGTCATGGGCAGGTGGAATATGGTAGATTATAATTGTTAACACTTAGGAATAATAACCTCCATTTACCTAGTGCTTAGGAAGTTGCATGCTTTGGGTCAATTTGTCCTTGGAGCAACCTGGTGGTGACATCGCTGGTGTTACTATCCCTATTTTATAGATGAGGAAACTGAGATTCAGAAAGGTTAAACAAAATGCAGTAAGAGCAGATTTTGAACTTGAACAACCATGGCTTGCGACACCTCAAGCATTTGTGTATCTCATCATTCACTGGTAAAGGAGAGAGTATTTCTTGACATTTTCAGTGGCTGGTATCTGAGCTGTTCCATGAACCATCTGAGTGACTGGGAGTGTGGATGAAGGAGGGTGGCCAGAGTTCATCAGCTATAGTAGATCCAGCTTCACAGCAGCCTAGTACTGGGCCTTTTGTGGGTAGATAGTAAGTATTGTGTGATTTCTTCCTTTCATTTTCTCACTGACTCTCAAGACTCAAGGCATGATGATCATCTTTCTTAGTGGGATTGGAGACATCCTGTGTGCACAGCATGTACTGAGTGATGTAAGTAGCCAGGCCACTGCCTTGTGCCTGGGAAGTTTTTAGAGTTTGGATGGGATCAGTGTGGGGGAATATTAGAAGGAAAATAACATTTGTTTAGAAGTAGAACTTTGCTCTGTTTTGTATTCCATAGAAGCATGTGTTATACATTGCTAAGTATATTGCCAGCATGTGGAAAAAAGAGAATTACTGGTGCGTTTTAGGTCTGCAGTTAATTCTGTTGGTATTGTCAAGGGTTTTGGGTTCTGAAATACAGTTAGCATGCAAACACTGGTCCAGAAAAACAGGTGGAGAAACCCTGCTGCTTGTGGTATTTGTAAAACTGAACAGAGTGTCACTCCACTCTCTTTGGGGGTAAGGTAAATTAATGATATAATGCCTTTTGTTTCCTAGCTAACTTCATTCTTGGGATGTTGGTTTACAGCGAAGAGCCCGTTGCATTAGGAAGGGTGATGTCACAGTGTGTTACTTCCTGGGTGAGCCGCCTTTGCTTATGTCCTGTTGTTAACTAGGCCTTTTGATATTTTCGTAGACAATCTGCTTCACCTTGATTCTGCAGCATTCCACACTGTGGTACCCTTGGGGTCTCTTAACATTGCTATGGTGCAGAAGATTTGAAATCAGGTATGACTGTGGGGACAGGAGTCCCTCGGTGAAATTTCAACCTGCATCTGCCTTACATTCTCTGATTTATCATTTGGGTTTCTTTTTTTGTGGTGGCCTTTTAGCTGATGTTCACAAGGAATAGAGTCACGTGATGTATGAAGGGAAACATATACACTTCTCTGAGGTTGACAATAAGCCCTTGTGCTCATATAGCCCCAAACTGTGCAAGCAGCGGCGACTCAACGGCTACGCATTCTGTATCAGACACGTTCTGGAGGACAAGACTGCCCCCTTCAAGCAATGTGAATATGTGGCCAAGTACAACAGCCAGCGCTGCACCAACCCCATCCCCAAGTCAGAGGATCGCAGGTGAGAGCTAGGAATGAGGTACACTTCTTGGTCCAACTAGTAGGCTTGGAATTTGGCCTTGTCTTTTTTTTCTTTCCCTACCCCCCTCCCCTCCCCTCCCCTCCCCTCCCCTCCCCTCCCTTCCCCTACTCCTCTTCAAACCTCTGCCCTCTCCTGCCCTCCCCTCCCTGCGTTGCTTTCTAGGAATAATTAAATGTTGCATTCTAGGAGTAATCTAAGTAAATGTTGGAATACTTCTAAAGATGAGAGATGGCAGTGTTTTTTAATGAAGTAGTAAATTTGGGGAATTATTTGTAAAGTATGTTTTAATGTTTTCTTTTTATTTATTTTATGCACTTGTAGAATTATTTTATTTATTTATTTTTAAAAATTTTTTGAGTCAGAATCTCACTCTGTTACAGCCACTGTAGCCTTGACCTGCTGGGCTCAGGCGATCCTTCCACCTCAGCCTTTCAGGTAGCTGGAACTACAGGCATGCACCACCATGCCCAGCTAATTTTTTGATTTATTGTAGAGATGAGGTCTCACCAAGTTGCCTAGGCTTGTCTTGAACCCATGGACTCAGGTAATCCTCTCACCTTGGCCTCTCAAAGTGCTGGGATCATAGGCGTGTGCCACCATGCCCAGCCAAGCTGTAATTTTATATATAAAGTTTTAGTAGTTTATATTTGCTAAGAAATTTTTTATTTCATTTAGATTTATTCTTTTTTTGAACAGCTTAATTAAGATAGGATTCCCAAACCATAGAAGTCATTCATTTAGGTGATTGCTCAGTGTTTTTACTGTTTCACTGGGTTGTACAGCTATCACCATAGTCTAATTTTAGAACATGATCGTTCTTGCAAAAGTGACTCCATACCCGTTAGTGGTTACTCCCCATGTAGTTCTTTTACTTTATTTTATTTTATTTTATTTTTTTTGAGTTGGAGTCTCACTCAGTCGCCCAGACTGGAGTGCAGTGGCCGCTCCTGGCCACCGCATCCTCGACCTGCTGGGCTCCGGCCATCCTTTCGCCTCAGCCTTCCGAGTAGCTGGACTACAGGTGCGCGCTACCATGCCCGGCTAATTTTTTTTGATGAATTGTAGAGATGAGGTGTCGCCAAATTGCCCAGGCAGGTCACGAACCCGCGGACTCAGGCAGTTCACTCACCTCGGCCTCCCAAAGCACGGGATTACAGACTGAGCCACCGAGCCTGACCATGTAGTTCTTTTAGACTAGGAAGTTCATATCTACCCGCTTATTTGAAGTACTGTTCGTAACCACTAGCTGTTCTAGTTATGAAACATTTTCCCCTTGGAAGAAGCTGGGTTTTCAAGCGCTCAGACTCTTTGTGGCAGTGCTGCTGCATGGCCGGCTTGAGAAGGCCTTGTCCATCCCAGCCCAGCCACCATCCCCAATGAGGCTGCCTGTATGTCTGCCAGTAGAGGGGCTCGGGTTCTAGATAAAATAACTCTATCTCCTGCTCCCTACTAAAAAGTCAATCCTGTTGCCAATTTGAAAAATAAGTTGAAAGCCACAACAAAAACAATATTCTTTATTACGTTTTTCCCTGTTCTTGGGAAGCATCTTGATTGGGCAGGTTTCCCTGATGCTTCTCTCCTTGCTGGTTGTGGCCATATGGATTTGTTTTTTTCTAGCTGTCTTTCTGTCTCTGTAACTCTATCTCTTTACCCTTTCTCTATCTCTGTGTGTAAAGCACCCAGTAGACACTTGACATTCTTTTTTTTGAGTGGAAGTCTCACTCTGTTGCTCAGGCTGGAGTGCAGTGGTATGCTCACGGCCCCTGCAAACTTGACCTGCTGGCCTCAGGCGTTGTTCCACCTCAGCCTTTTAAGTAACTGGAACTGCAAGAGTGTACTATTACGCCGGTTGCTTTTTTAATTTATTGTAGAGACAAGGTTTTGTTAAGTTTTCCAGGTTGGTTTTGAACCCTTAGGCTCAGGCAACTCTGTCTTCTGCCTCCCAAAGTTCTGGGATTACAGGTGTGAGCCTTTGCACCTGGTCTACACTTGACATTCTTGAGGGCTGTGTCATGAGCTCTTGTGACTTTCTAGTACTTTGATGGATTAGAACTTAGGTTTTTCTCTATAAGAGAATTGTGAGTGCTCCTCAGATTCCTGGTGAGTTACTTTGTGTATGAGTAGAGCAGTATCACCGAGTGGTCATCCAGCCACTAACATGGGCTGCGTGAGTTTGCACAGTCTTGAGAACTGTGTGAGGTCAAAGATACTGTATTACTGTACTCTATACACACAACCACTTGTAGAGGATGCATGCACATGACCGTTGATGCCAGACATGTGAACTAACTCATGTGATTGAACATGTGAACATACATTCACATCTTTGAAAGTTAACATGAAGATTTGTAACCCGTGGTTTTATGGTCTGCCTGTCTTGACCTGTCGGTGACTGTTTCTCTGTCTGTGTATGTTTTTAAAGGTACTGCAACAGCCACTTGCAGGTACTTGGCTTTATCCCGAAAAAAGAGAGGAAGAAAAAGAATGATCCTATAGAGGAGGTGAAGGTCAGGCACCAGATGGATGCCATGGCCTTCAGCCTGACGGTTCCCACGCTGGCCTTGAAGATGCCCAATGGACTGGATGGGATGTCCCTCTCTCCGCCGGGGGCCAGGGTCCCCCTCCACTACCTGGACACTGAGTTGGAAGATCCTTTTGCTTTCCATGAGGAGGACGAGGACCTGAAGAGAGGTGCGGCTGTGAGGAGGAAGCTGCAGAGCAAGCTGGCCCAGAACCGGCAGCGCCAGCGCGAGACGGAGATCCTGAAGGTTCGACAAGAGCACTTTAGTCCCCCTTCCGCCCCTGCCCAGCAGCCTCTGCAGCAGCACTCCCGCCTATCACGCCTGTCCCCTCTGTCCACATCCTTAAGGCCGCCGGCGCCACCACAGGGCTCCGTCTGCAGGTCACCTCAGCCTCAGAACACCAGCCTCCCCTCACGTGGGGTGGCCCCCCACAGCACAGCACAAGCGCGGCAGGGGCCTCAGCGGAGGCCGCCCCCACTGCCCGCCGCCACCAGGGCACCTGCTGGGGATGTGCCCCGGCCCGACCGGGTCCTCATGAAAGCCACAGCCTTCTCCCCACATCTCTCCTGCATAAGCCAGCTGCAAAGACTGGTGAGACTGTGCACACAGAAGCACCAGTTGGACACGGACCTGTTCCCGCATTTAGGTGAGTCGTCTGCTGTGTCACAAGGCGGTTGCACAGCATGACACCATGTTTTGTTGCGATCTCACTGTCAACGACCACCATGTGTGTGATGGGGCAGAACCACAGAGTGTTGCAATGAAGGAGTCTACATTTGGGGGCCACCTAACAAGTCATGTTAAAACACACAATTCCCCTTGGTGTCCAGGGGGTGGCGCCAGGACTTCGGTGGACATCAGCATTCACGGATGCCCAAGTCCCTGGTGTCAAATGGTGTGTGTTTGTATAGGTTATATAAACCTATACGTCATGTAGTCCCCTGTACATTTTTCCTTTGTTGCTTCTGAATTTTGTTTTGCTTGAGAAAATCTCCCCATTCCCTAGTTTATACAGATACAGTAAGACCCCTACATAGGAACAAGTTCTTTTCCGAGAGTGAGTTCATAAGTCCAATTTGTTTGTAAGTCCAAAGAAGTTAGCCTAGGTACCCAACTAACACAATCGGCCATACAGTGCCAGCTATATCACTGGTGCTTTTACGCTTCCTGAGCTTGAACTAAAGATACTGTACTACTGTACTCTATACAGTATTGTAAAGTACACAAAAGCACAACCACTTGTAGAGGATGCATGCACATGACCATGGATGCTAGACATGTGAACTAACTCTTGTGATTGGACATGTGAATGTACATTTCACATCTTTGAAAGTTCGTAACATGAAGATTTGTATGTAGGGAACTTTCTGTGTTCTGTATTTTCTTTTCTTTTCTTTTTTTTTTTTTTTTGAGTTGGAGTCTCACTCTCTCACCCAGGCTGGAGTGCCATGGCATACTCATTGCCACCCCCCAGCATCGATCTGCTGGGCTCTGGCAATCCTTCCGCCTCAGCCTTCCAGGTAGCCAGAACTGTAGGCACGTGCTACCATGCCTGACTAATTTTTTATTTATTGTAGAGATGAGTTCTCACCAACTTGCCCAGGCTGGTCTTGAACCCACAAGCTCAGGCAATCTACTCACCTTGGCCTCTCAAAGTGCTGGGATTATAGGCTGAGCCACTGAGACTGGCCTCTTTTTTTT